CAGCTGTGACAGATCCCCCCCCTACTCTGATGGGCACTGCTGCTGTCCCCAGCAGCAGTGGCACTGGGAGGTTCCTCCTCGTCCTCATCTTTGTCCTCATCCTTCCTTCCTTCCTCGTCCTCATCCTCCTGGTCCTGCCTTCCCAGCGTCCTGCCTTCCCGTGGGGCCAGTTATTTGCCTGGCATCACACCCCTGCTTTTCAAGGTAATACACTACTGTGGGATGCAGCTTTGCACTGGACTTCATTAACCGCAGACGCTGTAGTCCCTTTCCCTGCCACACCATGCAAGCCAGACATCCGTGACTATCTGCAGGAGATACGCATTTCCCCAGCTCCCAGGAGGACCCGGGGCTCTGTGGCAGATGGTGCACCAGAGTGACGGATGCACGGGGCTGGGGAGGCCATTCACCCTTCTTGTCTCTTGGGATCACGTCCCAGCACAGCCTGGCACTCCCGTGATGCTCCATCCCCATGCTGTCGCAAGCAGTTTATGTACATTGTTAATATCGGAAAAAACAGGATGTAAGTTGAGGAGCCTTATTCGGTACTGTCTTGCTCCACTTTCGGAGACCATTGGTACTCCAAAAAAGCACCCGGCTTAAGTAAAGTAGTGAGTGGCCAGATCCCTAAAACTAGCAGTGAAGACAAGACTGAATATCGAAGGGCAGTAAGACGGATCCAGCCCCGCCGTATGGATGTGAGTGCCCGGGCTGGTTTATGTCTAAAGAAAATAGCATCTTTTGAATGTACATTGAAGGGTTACTTTTGAAAAAAGTTTAGCAAGAAGAAAATTTTTCTCACTCAGTCAGCATCCAAAATGTCTCTGTTAAATAATCACCTACATTTTTCTTTGTGTTCCTTTCCTACTTTCTCATTGGAAATGGAAAAATAAAGAGACATTAAAAAGAAAGAAATGGGAAGAACAGAGATAAAATTATGCTTATTTGAAATTTTGATATTTTACAATGTCTCTGCTGACAACTTTGAACAAAATATATTATTTCCTTTCTTTTTTTCCTCTTAATTATTTTTTTCAGTAAGCTCTTTCTTACTGGAAAATAGTCCA